TACTCTACTAGGTGCTGAAAAATTAGAGATAGAAGCTAATCCCTGCCTCAAAAGTTTCTGTGTCAGGAACTCAAACTGAAGGGCTCTGAGCTAGGATGGAAAGAGGACCAAAGGGTAAGGAGAGCATAGAAGAAGAGTCTTAGACATGCTCGAGTAGAGTGGCATGGCTTTGCAGGGTATTTGTTTTGAAATGAAATTAAAACATGTACTTGCTCCATGCTTAGCACTAGGGCAAGTATATGCAAAACCTCACAAGAAGTCACAGCTTAGAGAAGAAATGATGATTATTTTATGATGCTTTAATTAGGAAGGGGCAAATGGAGCTGGTGGGTTTTGTGTACCATGCTAATTAATTACAATTTTATATTGAACACAAGGAACAGACATTGAAGAATCTTAAGAAGAGAATAATAAAAGTCCATAGCCAGGTAAGGTGAGATCTGAGAGAAAACACTTCAGACTCATCATTCATTTAACAATTGGCCAAAGAAACAACTTAAAGGCAGCTAACAATATAGATGCAAGATAAGAAAAATTTGTTTAACTTTTCTTTTTTTTTTTTTTTTAAGTGTGTGTTTAACTTGGATGGTTTAACTGAGTGTCTTTGAAGACATAACTGGGGTGACAAAGAAAGCAATTCACAATTAAAGTTATTTGTCAGGGTTTCTAATAAAGCACTAAATGTGTTTTTCTGCTAGAGATCAATAGTCAAGTTAAAGAATAACTGGTCAGGAGAATGCCAAGTGACAAAGCAAAAGCTGAAATATATTGAGAGAAAATGAGCATAAATCACAAGGAAAAAGCAAGGCACAATCTCATTCGTGAGTGCACTTTTGTAAAACCTATTGGCAAACACCCCAAATAAATAATGAAAAAGATTTTTCAATATAATAGAAATGAGAATTTGACATTTTATCAATGATATCAACATCCTATTGTAGGGGTCAATAATGTGGAAGGAATCAATCAAAATCTAAAGAATAAGGTCAATTTAGATGACTTACCCAAACAATATCACTAATTTAGTATAAGCATATGAATTGAATTAGTCTTGCTATAAAGTATAATCATGTTAAATATGATATAATTATACTGCAAGCTTATTAGAAACATAACTTAATTATTTCAGTAAGAGAAATCATTGAAATTGAGATCTAATAAAAACTTGTTTGTTTTCCCTGGATTGTAAAACTGAATATCAAAAGATAGTATAAGGTAAATATCAAGGGCTCTTTTTGTTTTAGTGCTGCTCTACCTCCCAAGATGGATAAGCTCTAATAAATCTTTCAAACAAAAACTGAGGAGAGAGAAGATGCAGAAGAGGAATCACTCTAAAGTATAAACAAAGTCTTCAAAATTGCACACAAGTCAAGTTAACATCACTTCCAAGTGTAAGCAGATACTGCTTACCCTGATGAAGACTTGACCGACTATTAGGGATATTTTCAAAAGCAAGAAAATTGAAGTAAACAGTGAAACAAAGGAGAACTATTTTAGTCAAAGGCCTGCACACATATGGAACCTGTTAAGTAGATGGTGACTGTAGAAAGAACTACAAATGAGTTTAAGAGACACCTAGACTATGTCAGAAAGGAAGGGGACAGAGGAAAGGGTGGATTCAAAAGCAAGAAAGTAGGCCAGAGATCAGTCAAGTGGGAGGAAGACAGGCTGTTGGGCAGATGCTCTTTTCTGTTCCCAAATGTTCAAAGTTAAGGGACACTCCTTAGTACACTTTTATTTTACACAAAGGGTGAACTATGAAGAAACCAAGGGTCTCTCAGAGTTTTTTCTGGATGTACTTATGTCATTTCTTTGATAACCTTTGCTTGTTTATGTATTTCATTTGCTTCCTTCTTCAAATGAGGGCTCTTATTTAGGGCACATTAGTCCATAGACTTTAATTAAAGGCATGACTTATTAAGAATAAAGTTCTAGTTTAGTTTACGTTTTAAGGTTACATTATGTTATCTTCCTCAAAATTTTTCTAAGGAAGATAAATATTTCTCTTCTGACAAAGTGCAGTGCTTACTAACTTACCAAATTTAGGGCCAATTTAGACTGTAGACATGACAATTAGGTTATTTTGCACAGTATTTGTGTGTTTCATGAAAAATTAATGTACACAAAAAAATTAGTTGAGTTGCCTGACTGTGGCATAGTGGAATGGTGACATATGTTGAGTCAAACTCATCTATATGGACCTAGCAGAAGATAAATTCCTTAAGATGTTTGACAGACTCCACGTAGCTGCTAGAAAGAAGCCAGTATTCAGTCTCATTAACCAACTTCACAGGGCTAACAGATAAGGCTTTATCCTAGATATCATGAAAAATAAAAAGCAGGGAAAAGAACCATTTCTTTGAAGTGATAAACTGCTAATGGAGAGATAAGAATAAGCACGTAGGAACACACATAAATGCTAAGAAAGAAAGCATACAAATCAATTCTTCATAACTAATAACACATTGGAAGTAGACTGGGAGTTGACAGAGTCAGGTTAGTGTGCAGAAAATGACAGACACTGGCCAAATGCATTCCAAATGGCCAAATGCAGCTACTCTAGATATGGGCTGAAACATACAGGAACCTAGCCAACAGGTAAGACTTTAAGATAAATGGTGACCTAGATCTGTAAGACAGAAGTAAGCTCCAAACAGAATTGGCCATTTGAGTCTCGAGCATTCTAGCTTCTGAAATAGTGATGGGAGTTCACAAGGACTTGCACTTTTCACTGGACTATTTATAAGGGAAATATCCGTGGGAGGTAGTCTTACTAATGTGCATTGCAGAAATTCAGTTTATTCCATAAGAATTCAACAAGGGAAAACTTGTTCAATACCTATGCATTGAAATAATAAATGTTAACAAAACTTATAAAAATTTTTAATTATCCCTAATATATAGAAAGAATTCTTGAAGTGCATTTTCATTTATAAAGTAAATGAAAATAAAATTGTACATCTTCAATTAACATTAATATGTAAGGATGCATGCACACACCAGTATTAATCTAACTGACCAGTATTTTACCCTTTGTCAAAGCAAAATGAAAACATTCAGATGCAACAACTAAAGACTCACCATCTTCTTAACACAATTAGAGAAAAATGGAACTATTGATCTTGTGGTTTCTATATCTTACTGGGAATATAGTTTATAGACAATCTACTTTCCCTATTTTTAATCCATCTTGCCAAACAACCTACTTATGAACTTGAATGACAAGTCATAAATAGTGATGACAGAAAACAAGTCATAAATCAAAATTATAATACATTATACTGTTTTTAAAGACAAGGAGGTACTATCCAGAAGAAATTACTGCTGTGGAGACAGGCCTGAGTTCAGATACTAACTTCACCACTTAATAACTGGGTGACTCTAGACAAAATAGTTCAACCTAACTGATATAAGACAGTTGACATAGATTAATTTAATGAACATCTATCCATAGAAGAACACTATGTCTATAAGAGCACAGAGCAGGACTTCCAAAAACAGGAATTACTTTGGCCTTGATTCTAGAATGAATTTTACCTTTTGTCCAAGTCAAATTAAGACTAGTGTCAGGTATTAAATGAAATTTAAGTATGTAAGTAAACTTAAAATTTATTTTTGCTTTTTTACTGTTTTATCATGGAATTTAATTTATACTTACTGTCTAGCCTAGCGGATCTCAATAATGTCTGTATTTCAGAATCAGCTGAGGAGCACTTAAGAAATATAGCTAATAGTGGTTTTGCCATAATAACTTTAGGCTGAATCCTGGACACCAATGTTTAATTATTCTTTCCAGGTGGTTCTAATGAACAGTGGTGCTGAGCACCATCAGTGTAGCCAGTGACAGTGGAGCTATTTCTAATCCTCATTTGTGTTTACTAGAAGTGACTCAAAACAGTTTCACCTATTCTGACTTAAGACCCTAATTGTAGCTTACTCAAAGTTGTGGGAAGCATTTCCAAGTCTTTTTTTTTTTTATTTAAGAAGTGGAAAAAAATTAATATAAGACTAATCAGGATACTAACAATATCATAAATTAACAATCCTCTTATATTATATACTTATATGAAGTAGAACCATAAAAGCTGTTGGAATTATTTTAAGTAAGAGCATGGAGAAGGAGAAAGAGAAATGGTGGGGGTGAACCTAACCAAGGTACATTATAAGCATATATGAAAATGTCGCAATGAATTCCCTCTGTAAAACTAATATATGCTAATAAAAATGGTTTTTTAAAGATTTTAAAATGAGTATTTTTATTTGGATAAAAATGAACCATGTTTTCTATCATATTTCCATTGCAATTATATAAGAGGAAAATTGCTGGTTTTTTTGAGGGGCAGTATTGGGGTTTGAACTCAGGGTTTCACACTTTATACCATACCACTTGAGTGCCTCCAGCTCTTTTTGCTGTGGTTATTTTTGAGATAGGGTTGTGCTTTTCGCCCAGGACTGCCTGGACCATGATCCTCCTATTTTAGGCATCCCAATGTAGCTGGAATGATAGGCATTGTGACTCCTGCTTTTTTCATTGAAATGGGGTCCCCTGAACTTTTTTTACTCAAGCTGGCCTGGAACCTTGAGCCAATCTCAGCTTCCCAGGTAGCTAGGATTCCAGGTGTGAGCCACTGGAGCCCAACTGGAAAAATCTACTTTTTAAAAGGCCTTTTCTCTTACAATTATTCTTTTCCTCTTTGCTCTGAAGCTATAAAAAGCAAATATAGACATCTGAAAGACAGACCCAACACAAATCTCCTGGTTACTAGTTTTCCCCTTTGGTGGAAATGTGCCACATTCTTCTTGTAAAGAGAGCATGGATATTGGAGAAGGTGTTGGTCATTGGATCAGTTGCTTAGAACTCTTTTGTAACTCTTTCCTGTTTTAAGGAGTGACTCTGAGCCTGTCACTTGACTTATCTCCAGCCTAATGTACCCTCTGTGACATATAACCAGAACACAGTACCAGGTTCCTAGGATTATGTGAAAACATGGGCATCTTACCAGTGTGCTACCATCAGTCCAACGGAAGTCATGCTCAAACATCTTGTCATTGAGGCCTATCCACTGATAATCATGGCCCACACCTAAAGGATGGGAAACAAATACAGGTATTTTAATAACTTTCCCGTACACTGGTAAAAATATATCAAAGAAAATTATCTTCAGAGTAAATTATGCATCTTCTTTTCTGTCTGGATTTTTATTTATTTGCTCATAAAAGTCTCTCCTAATCTATCCTTTATTCTTCCACCCTATGTGCTTTAAACTGAAAAGCTAACATTCAAACACTGTGAAAAATTAAAAATATCACATTTGAAGAAGGAATACCTGGGCTAGGCGGTTCTGAAAAATTATCCTCAAAAATATTTTCTTATACTATGAGGTAAGTCACTGGCAAAACAGCATGGAATAAAGTTAAATGGGCTCCATCCAGATTGCAAATTAGTAATCAAGCTTCAAATAGATTGACGTCATCATGGGAACACACTTAGGAAAGCATGAAACAGTGTCTCATGAACAAAATAGTTCTACGTAGTTACTACATAAAGGCTAGCTGTCCTCTTCTTTGCTATAGTTTAAGAAGTTATTAAAGAGTTCTGGTATAGTATTAGAGTTCATTTTTTTCCAATCTTCACCTATTCATATTCTTAATATGTAGCTTACTTTTGTGGTGTAAAATAATTAGAAACTTGTATGTGAAATAGTGTGCACAGAGTATAAGATTAGAATGCTATTCAAATTCAATTTTAATTAGCAGGCTAAAAATAACTGAAAGCAACTTTCTCTTTAACTTTTGATAACACATGCAAATATTCAAAATAGAGATGATAAAGGTAGCTATGATAAGGATAATATTCAATAATAAAAATGGCCCTTTTACAAGTCAAAAAAGGGATCAGAAACCAGTGCAAAGGTCAGTTAGAGATGAATCAACTTGAGTTGTAACACATTTGTACATGAAAGCAATGCTAGGAATCTCTCTGTATAGCTATCCTTAATTCAACTAGCAAAAACGCTTTGTCTTTCTTATTATGCTCATGTCTTTTCTTCAACAAAATTAGAGATAAGGGCAGAACAGGTTCTGCCTGGAAGTGGGGGGGAAGTGGTGAGAGAGTGTGAGAGGGGGGCAGGAGGGAGAAATGACCCAAACAATGTACACACATGTGAATAAATGAATAAAAAAAGATCAATTAACAATTTTGAATTATTCCACCTGCATCTTACTGTTTTACCATAATAACACTCACAGACGAAGTAATGCCTTCCTATATTATATCTGAATGTTTCCCAAAGTGGAGGCGTCATCTAGGTGATTTTAAGTGGTTCAAAGACAAAGGACCTAATAAATTGAATCCAGACTGAGAAAGTTGGATACAGAAAAACAAAAAAGTGGTGAGAATGAGTAAAGTTTCAGTAAACTCATGTCTATCTGGTACATACGATTCACAAACATTTGCTCTTCATGAGACAAGATGCTTGTGAGATGGGCACCCTGTAGACGGCATTCCCTTTCAGCTGCATCCCATGTGCGTCGGTGAGCAAAGTATTTGTAGCACTGCCCTTGGAATTTGTGCCAGCCATAGTCACACGTCTCAGTGTCTAGGAAGAAACAAGGCAAGGTCTTATGAAACTTACCTACACCACTCAAACTTGGCTCTTCAATCCAAGTGCTGAAAGGATACTCAAGTCAATATCTATGCAATGTTCCTGAAGTAACTGATTCATAAATTTGGTCACTATGACAAAAAAAATCATTATAATGTGGGCCCAACTGATCCCAGTGAATTGGGTAGCTGTACATCTTTGGACTAAAAATACAGTATATAATTGCAACTTTCTTTATTAAAGAGAGTGTAGGCAGGAGGGAAAACTGGAAGAGCAGCCAGCCAAAACCTCTTAGGCTGTAGTATCTGCTGACTTACTTGTGATGCAGTTGGAACTAACTTCTTACCAACACAATTTTTCTATGAGAGTTATTCACAAATGATAAGAATTCTGCCTAACAGTATTATCAACACTCTAACAACCTCAAAAGCTCTGGAAGAAGTCCTTTCCCACTACCCAGACAGCTATCTGGAAGCCCACAGGCTTTGGTCATGTAAGTCTACACAGAGGAAAAAAATATATATCATAAGTAAGCAGCTTTTGGGATATAGCTGTAATACGTGCTCTCTTGGAAAAAAAAAAAAAAAGAAAGAAAGAAATCCAGAGAAAGCCCAGTATAAATGTATCAGTCTTTTAAATTGGTTAAAAATGAAATAACCCAAATTTACTGATTTATCTCCCCCTTCCACTAAGTTATATCCATGTGTGTGTGTGTGCGCGCGCACGCACACGCGCTTTTTGCAACAAACACACCGTAACTGATATCCCAGTGGGATGAAATCATTTTTCAAAGATATCTGAATTTTACACTGGAAGGAAGCTTCAACTTCACTTTCTATTTGTAAGTTTTAATGTGTCCTCAAGAAAGTAATGTTTGCTATAGTACTATTCTTATTGGTAATTTTCCCTCAGACTCACTCACACACTATATATTAAATAATGCTCAGTGAAAATAGCTTTGACTTTCACAAACTATATCTTACAAAGATAGTGAAGTAGTTACATGTAAAAATTAACAAAACTGCAAAGTTTATAGAATCTTAAACACCAAAGTAGTTCCATGTAAAAATTAACAAAACTGCAAAGTTTATAGAATTTTAAACACCAAAGAGACTATCCAAATTACCTAATAAGCAATTTTACCAATGAATAAAGAAAACAAAACCATACTAGATTAAACAAATGCTTTTTTATGTGGTAGACTTGGTGGCTAAATTGAAACTTACATTACCTCATGACTCTCATTCAATGCAGTCCTCTTTATATAGCTGAGGGAAAGCCTGCATTCTAAGAGATTTAACTTTTTCTTCTGGCTTTAGTGGTTTAGAACGTAATCATAAAACAGATGCAGTTTATCTCTTAAAGCAGTCTTCATCTCGGTTTAGTCTATCAGGTCTGTTGTTTAGTTATATCTAGCTGACTAATTGTTTTGAATAATCTGCAATGAAAGTTTGGACTTTTATTAAAGTGTTGTTCGGAGATCACCAATCTCATGGGAAAGGGCTCAGACCAGAGTTAGATGGTTTAGTATAAAAGTAGCACTCATCACCAAAAAATAAAGTCAATTTTGTCCATTGGATAGGAGTTTTCCTTTTGAGAAGTCCATGTGGAAGAATTCAGAGATGAAGTGGGAGCAGAGTATCCTTATACGTAAGGACACAAAAGAGGAGGAAAGTTGGGAAACATTTTAGAACATTTTTACTGCCAAAGTCAATACCATGATATTATAACAGCAAAGCTTTCCTTAATCTTGATAATTATTATTTATTTTAAGATATACAGTTTAAAGTTCTAGGGGATCCTTACTTCTTGAATAATATACCAAAAAAATTCTCTGTACATGCTTTCCTGTCTTCTCATAACCTGAATCATTTTAGTTTGGTTTTCCTCTTTTATGTAGTTAAAATAATCATTAAGTATTTTTTTCTCTTTTGCAAAAAACAAAAATGATCATGAAATTTAAATTTATAACCATGCCATTGCTACAATGCTACTATAGTTTGAATGCGGTTTTTCTCCCAAAGGTTCACATGCTGAAAGTTTGGTCTACAGTGTGCAGGTATTAAGAGGTGTGCAACATTTAAGAAGTTGGAGCTAGTGAAAGTTAAACTCCACCCCCATGATGGGCTAATAAGGCTTTCTTATGGAGTACTTTGCATCTGGTAAGAATGGATTAGTACCTGCTACTAGGAAGAAAATTGTTATAATAAAAACAAGCCTAGCCCCTCCAAAGTCTACTACCTCCTGTCTTTCCATGTGATCTCTCCCTTCCACATGAAACTAGTTCCCCTTCTACTTCTTCATCATGTTGTGATGTAGCAAGAAGGCTATCACCAGAGACTAACAGATGGAGTCACCTTATCTTGAAATTTCTAGCCTTTAAAACTGGGAGCTTTATAAAATAACCAGCCTCAGGTATTCTGTTATAATACCACAAAATAGACTAAGACAAATATCTTTCTCAGCTAACAAGATATATATATCCTGTTATATATCCTTAGAGGAGATATATATATGTCAAAACCAATCTGGAAGAATTTCTCAATCTGTACTATCTGTACTATCTAAACCATTCCTTTCTAATGATTATAAATACACATGCAAATACCACATAAAAGAATAAAGGCCTTTGTTTTTGTTTAAAAGTCAAATATTCATGTGATCCACTTAAATTTTATTATTCACAAATTCAACAAATACATAAGGAAGGACTTCATGTCAAGCAGTACCTTCCAGGATACTATTTTGTGACAGTGAGCCTCAGAATTAGTCCATTAGTTTTTCCAACTTTACCTAAAAATAATATGAATCTCATTTTATTTATTAAAAGGCAACCCTTTGGGATGATATTTTTGTGACTTTTTTTTCAGTTCTTAAGATTGAACTCAGTACTTTGTTATGCCAGGCAAGCATTCTACCTCTAAACTGTATACTCACCCACCTCTGATGGTATTTTTTTTAAAGTCATTAAACATTACATGAAGACATCTTATGCTTAAAACCCCTATCGTTCATAGGTTACCATACAAGGTCCCAGATTTGTTAATGAACACAGAAGCCAAAACTATTGCTGTTAAGCCACATCCCTAAAATTCTATCTTTTCATTCAGTACAAATACCATTGTCAACATCTCCAATATACAGCTGTCAAGCCTTGGGAATTTATCAACTCTTGGACCCTCTGCCTTGTGAAGTTACATTGTAGCAATCTGTGCTAGTTTCTCTACTTTCTAGATTTTATATGTTTTATTATTCCACCAAAATGTGTCTATTTCAGAGTTAGTGAGACTTAAGAAGTTACTAATGCAGAGAAAAGGTCAGCTGAAGAAACAATGACACAGTCATTAAGGAACTTTGGATAAAAATCTGTTTAGACAACAATGCTGCTGTTAACGAAGAAAACATTTGTTCTTAGGCAACGTGAAAAGAAGAAGAAGAAAAAAATCCCTCAGTATCCTGGTAATAAATCACAGGCACACAGCTGCACCAGGTAAACAGTCTGGGAGAAATGTTTCTAGGCAAATAAAGTGGATGGAAGGTAGACTTTCTTGAAGATAAAAAAGAATGCACCTGAAGGTAGGTCACACCACTGATGAAAGAAACAACTTACACTGTTGCTTTTCAACATCCTTCTTGAGAGGGAAGGGGTAACTTGCCCCAAAGCCCCTTCTGAGAATCTGTTACCATTCAGTCCATCAGATTCACGTATAAATAAGATGTGTATCTTTTAGAATTACTACAGAAGTGTGAAGATATTGAGAAAAACTCAGGCTTTGGAGTTAAGCTTAAGTTCACTATTCTCCCTCTGTAATTTTCTAGATGTGTGACATTGAACACATCACTTTTCCTCTGAGTCTCAATTTCTAACACACTTAATGTATATAAGTATTGTGTCAACCAAATGAAATAATACATTTGGCAAGCTATAAAGTACCAAAGATAGTATATCTTTTATTCTCTGTAAAGAGTTACATTAAGTCACCAAGACCAAGGACTTTGTTTTGTTCAATGCTCTATTTCCAGTGCAGCAGTGTCTGGAAAATAGTAAATACTCAATAAACACTTGTCAAACAAATGGTGCTTTGAATTGCTACTTGTACTCAAAACTAAGGGAAAACAGAATCATTATAATATGTTTGAATGTTTTAGATACCTCAGCCTTTTGCGTTCTTCAAGAAACAATATGTTTCTTAATTTTTACTTCAAGAAGAAGATCTTGCTTGGTCTATTTTCATATTTAAAATTCTAAAACTCACCCTATGCAACAAAAAAAAGAAAGAAAAAAACCTAAAAACTTAGCCATCTCCCACACTCTTGTAACAATAATTCAGAACATGCTGCTTTTAGCCTTGCTTTAATTGTAGTGACGTCTAGATTAATGCCACAAAGCAGAATGTGGGGCCAGACCAATGTGTCTGAGTGTCTAATACATTTTCATTTTGTCTGGTGGAAGGAATATTTGGCACTGAGCACTTTTATCAAAGCCAAACCACTACATGACATTAAGCAGAGGAAACCAGCATTCTGAAGTTGAGTGTGCTGAGCCTGCAATCTGTTTCTGATTGAAGGACAACCAATGTTACCATTAACCACCTGAAATGTACTCCTAGGTTGGCCATAAAAAGCCAATTATAGGGATCATGAGATTCTAGGCCTATCTTTCATTTAGAAAAAGTAAATTCTTCTTTAGTAGGAAAATTTACTGGTGAGCAATCTTATAATGTCTTTTATATAGTACTTGCCAAGCCAAGGCTAATGTATCCTAACAACTTTATCAACTCATTCTCCAGAGATGATTGACTATGAATAAGGCCATGAAATATCAACTGCTTAGGGGAGAAAATTAAGGCAACTAACATTGAGTTCAACACACAGACCACATTAAGGTCAATGTCTACTTTGTCCCCGATAGAATACATATGAGGATATTCCTTTTGTTGACCAGATGTCCTTAAATTCAACTCAGTGTGCCTGTCTGCAATCCCAATCTATCAGCAAAACAACCATAATTAACTCAACACTATGGTTTAGCTGTTTCAAGCTATTACAAGTAGGGAAACTTAATACAGGTAACCTGTGAATTTCTTTCACACAAAAGAATATTCAGAAAGGCCAAATTTTTGAAAATGTTGTAATTGTTCTTACCTTGTTCACAAAGTGCACCCACATAGCTTGGAAGGCAGAGGCACCTAAATGTATTAAAACCATCAATACATGTAGCTCCATTCCGACAAGGGTTAGAGTGACATTCATCAAAATCTGAAAAAAAAATTGTAAAGGCCCACAAAAACACTTTCAAAAAGGAGGAAAGAATTCTGTTTAGTGTGAGGTTGCCAGACAAGCTACAGGATGGTCACTTAAATTTTAATTTCAGATTTTACAAAAATATATATAATTTTTAATATAAGTGTATCCCATGTTATATTTATACTAATTTTAACTAAAAAATTATTCCTTTTTTACCTGAAATTCAAATTTAACTGACCAACTGTATTTTTATTTGCTGAATATAGCAACCCTAAAACAATTTTAAATACATTCAGAATAGAGTCATCATATCTATTGCTATTAGGCAAATACAGTGAGCCCTAAAACTAATCAAGTACTGCCGCCCTCAGCCTTCCAACATCTAATCCTGAGTCACGCTCTGATTACTTTGTTGTGAAGTACTAAAATACCTAATTGACCTTACTGCTCCTGCGCCCTTTGCTCTTCAATACACCTTCACTCTGTTGACTACAATCTTTTTTTAGACTCAGTCATATGTAAGTTTATCATTTTGCATCCAAATTTCCATGGATCATAATTACCCAATGAAGTAGTCCTCAAAGTTGTTCCCTGAACCAGAGCATCATTACCACCTCAGGATGTTAGAAATGTATTGCTTACTTCAGACCTACTGGATCAGACGCTCTGGGATGAGAGCAACCATCTGTGTTGTAGAAGCCCTCTGATGCATGCCAATGTCTCAGAACCACTTAGCTCCAGTATGAAATGCAACTATTCAGCATAAATCAGAACTTCTCAGATCACAGGACCTTCTATACTCAACCAGCTTGCTACTGTTCTCTCCTAGTATGTCTTCCTTCCCTAGACACATAAGGGTGTACTTGCATATTTGTAGTCATTCAAATCCATTCTGTGCTTTGTAGTTTCTGTGCTTTTGTTTGTTGTGTCCATGTCTAGTTCCATCACCTGTCAAATCTTCCACAACTTTAAGGTCAATGTAAATGCAATCTTTCTACCTAGACCTCCATGATTGCTCCTGATGAAATAAATGAGTATATTCCCATAGCATTTTGCAATTACACTAAATAGTTAATATTTACATTAATTGTAAAGAATATCTTAAAAAATGAATATACAAAACAAGTTAAATTTTCAAAAATTTATAATGTATTCTTACCTATGGCAATGGTCTTATGATATAGTATTACAGTATATGATAGTATAGTATGACATAGAAATGACAACAAAAACTTTTATAGTGCTGACTAAGTGCCAGCCTCTGTTCTAAGAGCATCATAGATTTTACTCATTAAATTATTTTAATGATTTTAATATAAAATAGAATGGGGGCCAGATCAATGTGTAAATTTTTTATTTAAAATATAATTGTTCCTTAAATGTTATCTATTGCTATTTCTATACTCCCATTAGTTAGCACAAACTTAGAGTTAACTAGCTGTTGACCTTTTTTAAGACAAGCATTCTTTCAATATGAACATTGGGATTTTTATCCCAATATATGTGTAAAAATTTATTGGTAGGCTTTTTTTACACAATCATTTTAAGCAAAACTTCATAGTACCTCTAAAAGTAGCACTGACCTATGTATTCCATTGCTCTTCTCTAATTCTTTTCTTTTCCATCATTCTTTTTATTCTTTCCAATGTACTGAATAGTTTTACTTCATACTCTAGTTAAAATGGTTCTGAGTATTAGCATGTATCAGAATCATCCAGAGAGCTTGGTAAAACACAGATTGCTGTCTACATCCAATGCATCTGATTCAGTAGGTCTGAAGAGGGACCAGGGACATGCATTTCTAACACACCCAGGTGATGATTATACTTCAGGACCACACTTTGAGGACCACTCTCCTAGGCAAATAGGATCCATAAAAAGTGAGGTCTATATTTAACTAAGTCAAAACTGAAAACTTCATCAGTTTTTAAAGAAAATGAAACAAGAATGAGAACAAAAGAAGCTGATTTAGTAGAGGCCATTATATTCTATGGACCCCAAAAGAGAAGAAGAGAACTGCTACCACACTATTCCTTGGGGTAGAGACAGGTTGGACTAGATATTGAGAATCAGAAAAGGATCTATCTCATCCCACAGCAGATCAGAAAGTTATCCCAAAACATAAGAACTAAATTCCCTAATTTTTTCCTAAATCGTTAAATAGAGCTTTCTTTTTAAAAATCCTCTTAAATTGGTTGCGTATTGATATGTAGAACTCAGAATGATTAAGAAATTTTTGCTAATGTCTGTACATTTTTACATTTTAAAGGCTAACTTTAAAAACCACAAAAAGACATAGCTGACCTTAGTTAATCACTGAATCTTAGGGGTGTATTGGCAGAATTCAGAAAACACCTTTCCTCATTTCCCAGACGCAAATGAATTATCCTCAGATATTAACTTCATTTAACGTGCAGTTCATCTGCTTATGGGTTTCTCTGAAATCTCTGATTGATTCCACAACATAAATCTCCCCCCAATGCAGCTTCTGGAAAAGAATTGCAGTCACTCAACCACAGCATCTTACCAAGTTCACACTGGTCTCCACTGTATCCTGGCACACAGGTGCACACATAGGAAGTTTCAGTAGGATAACAGGTGCCTCCATTAAGGCATGGATTTGTTTTGCACCGATCAGGTCCTACCATGTTTGAGAAAGTAAGAACAAACAATTAGGCTCATATCTACAGTTTCCATGTATTGTATCACAGAATGCCTCTTATTGCTACCATAATGTAAGAATTACTATAGCAATTTAGAGATACTACATATAAACATAACATTAACTTTACTCTGGAGTGTTTTTTGGCATTATAACTACTTGTTACAAATTGCAACTATTCATTTCTAGGATTCAGTCATTATTATTTTTAACAATATTTTATACCATATCTGGAAACTAATACATTCTACTGCAGATTTAGTTGGCATGATAATGGCAATTGATTTTAGTCAAAAATGATTACACATATGTGCACAGTGAATGGAAAATGTTTTCTTTTAAACGGGGTTAGTTCATGTGAAATGACTGGATACACAGAACATGCATTCTTTTAGCAGACTGGCTTGTTACCATCACTTGAGTTATTATTGCCTTTTACCACTTAATGCTCAGAAACTGTCTTCGAAAGTGTGCACTGAAGTCTCTTCTGCTACATTAACAAGCCTTTTCCAAAAACACGTTCCAAATGTACTCCTTTAAACTACACTTGAAGAAAAGCAACATATGGATTAAACTCTACTGCATAAAAACAAACCCCAATACAAAAACCTCACCTAAAATGAAACCCCAAAGTTTTATTACAATTTCCTTATTAAAACATAAATAAAACAAGCCCTCTTAAGAAATCAACGTAAAAGCCAAAAATCTAAATTTATGAAGACAAGTATTTAAAATGCATTTTCTAAATGTAAATGCTTTTATACCACTTGAAGCATATTTGTATTTTGGAATATTGCTTGGGTAACTGAATTGTCATTAAAAGTTCATATTTATTCTTCAAATACTTTTTCAGAAAAATACAATTCTCAAAGTGTTCAAGAATCTAAACAAGTTAAATGTTTTTGTAAAATGACCAAAATAAGAGATTATGTATGGAATACAACCAACCATATTTTCAAGTATCTTAAATTCTGAAACCCTGAAATAATTACACATGAAAAGAACATTCCTAACTTCTGACAAAACATTGGCTAGAGAAGAAAATTGAGCCATTCCATACAAGAAAGTCAAACTCAAACTTTCTGAGTGTTATGTAAATTCTGGATAACTAGAAAGGCTTAAGAGATACACATTCTGGTTTGGAGTTCATACTACAATTAGGTAAAGACAAATATGCACATCAACTTCTCCAAAAACACCCCAATTTTTCTAAGATGCTTTTTCCTCTGGTTCTAAAAATATTTAAAGCTCCCTAGCAATTTTTTAGCTTTCTGCATTTGAAAAAACACTGCCTAGGTGACTAGATTGCAATCAAGGACATATCTGTATAGAATCAAAATGACACTCAGGTGGAAGTGCTCTCTAAGACTGTGATGCCAAACCAAATGTGAAGTGCCATCATTATCCCCACCACAGACACTAGACATCATGCAGAGACCATGAAGCAAGGACTTGGTGAGAAAGAGGGTCTTTCTGTGAAAGTGAAGAAGTTCTGATGATGGAAAAGTTTTGCTTTTAGAATTCTATTTTGCCCTAAATAGTTTGTACTAGCTTCTAAAAGTTGAGTCTGCGACAGACAAATCAGGCGATCACACAAGTGAACTGCTGTTTACTGAATTAAGCTAAAGTGACAGTTTGTTTTGCAATGAAGACGCAAATCCCAGTTCTTTGTAAACTTTGAGGACTAGATAACTGGTACACATTTCTCACTGATTTGTCAAACTTAACTCTCTATATGGACATGATTTTTGTCGATCATTTCTACATCACATTTTCAACAAGCTGAAGTATAGTTCAACTAAATTACAAAGCAATGAATAGTGGCCAGATTACTAGGTCATCAGCTCTGGATTAAATATGGTGACAGCAAAAAACGAACAAACAAAAAAATCCAATGTCATCCACCTTTGATCAATTTTATTCACAAAATACTCTGACCCATTTATAAAAATTGCACTTTCTGATTGTTTTACTCTTTCTGAAACACAAAATGAAGCACTAGTAGCACAAAGATAATATCAATATGAACAGAAGAATAGTTTCAACGATAACCATGAAATAAACCATATTCATTAAAATAAAACATATTTCCAGGCAACATAATAGCCCTTAAAGTATTGGTTTTTTTTTTTCTTTTTGTGGGTAGTAGCTAGGTGATAATGACTATTTGTGAGTTCCACTGGCTTTTCTGGTTAAATTACATCCCAGGAAGTCCACAAAAGCTGACTTCTCAACATTCTTGGGCTAGGTTAAGAAGATAATAAATTCTGCTAAGTAAAAATTTCAAGATTTCTTGTTTACATATTGTTAAATAGCAAATGCTAATTTTTATACTATATTGGAAAGCCGGAGAGGGTGTGAAAAAAGACCATGGACTTCAAAGCAAGAGTGATCAGGGTTTAAATCCCCACTTTTGCCATGGCGTGGCTGTGTAAACTCGAACAAGTTACTGATATTCTCTGAATCTCTATGTTTTACCCTTTTCCATGAAACTCATAATTATGTTGTATAGCCTTTTCATGAAGATCAAATGAAATAGCTTATATGAAGCAGTATCTAATTCATTCTTCTGGTATATTCAGCAAATAGAAATCTCTCAAGAGGCAGAACACAAACATGTTCTAAATAAATACCCACAATGGCTAGATACTATGTAAGGAAAATTTCATAGACTATCTCAAGCAATGATATACACTAAAGTATGAACTATAATTGATATCATACCAACTGTGAAATATTTATTAGAGTTAGTTATTACTTCCAAATGTTAAAGACCTGATAGATTTTGATATTGCCATAAAAATACCCATCATTGGGAGGGAGTCTTCTTAAAAAAAAAAAAAAAAAGGCGGAAAGAAAAGCAGGACTTTATTTTCTGTTTTTAGAACTAAGATGTGTAACTACAGGACAAATGCCAAAGCAATACTTCGATTGTGAGTAACATTGAATTTTTATACCATTATTTCATTTTATCCATTTTGCAATTGTACGTTGTTTCTAACCACAGAAAAACACAAAGTATATCTCTAAAGCCCAGAAATACTCTATACTTACTTTCACTGCATCTCATTATGAGGTCAATACTGTGGCCTGGCCTGCTATTACAGGGACAATATAAAAATCTCCATTGATTTAACATCACAATAAAAATTACATACACCCATATGTCATAACCAAGAGACTGTTTCCAGGTTTGGAAACAGAAGTGTCAATGTTGTTATCTTACCTGGCAAATAGACTGCTGTGCCTTCCATGGACTCTTCATTAATGCCAAACAGGAAATCAGTTTCATTAGAAGTTTCAGGAAGGGAAAGTGGTGGTGTTGAAAGCTCAGTATTTAATTCCACAGTGCTTACTGTTGCCTGATTATTCGAATCAAGAATTCTTGCTGATACTTGCTTTTCTGAGGCTCCTACTGTGGAATCCTCCCTTCTGGTTAAAACTGTGTGTGTTTCATGGATTATTTCTGAAGAAGAAGGAATGGTGGGCTTCTCAGATGTCTGTGGGCTGGGCTGAGGCACCATACCAGCCTCAACCATAAAAGGAGCAGAAACAGAAGTGATATGTGGCCACTGTGTAGCACCTTCCATCATAATGTCACTGGCAGCTGGAGTAACAGCTGTAGCCTCAGTTGTTCTGATGTTGGGAAACACCTCAATTCTTTCCCCAGAAATGTGATAGTTGACTTTGTTTGGGAAATCATGGGAAGTCTCAGTTCCTTCCTCAGCAACTGGTTCTGTGGGAGAAACTTCCATTTCTTCTAAGAATTTAGGTTTGTTCTCATCTTCTGAAAGTCCTATTTCTGTGTCAGGAGATAAGAACGGAGGCTCAGTTATGTGAAAGTATTCTTCACTTGATGGCTTTACAACTGCTTCAATGTTTGCATGAAGTTCCTTGAAAGAAACCTCTGAAGATCTCCGAGATGAGCTGGCATCTGTACCTGGTAGAGCACTTGCCTCAGGAACCTCTGTGTTTTCAGAGGCTCCACTGCTTAAGTAGACAGGAAATGGAGAGGATGGTGCATGAGAGGACAGCTGAACAAGTGCTGAGACTGCTGCTGCTGTATCGGTGTGATATGGGGGACTGGATCCTTCCATCACACTAGGTGCTTCTGTTAAACTCTGAGCCATATGGAGAATATTACTGATACTTACATAAGGAGTGGGATCTGTCATTGCCTCCTCTGCTCCTGAAGAGAATTCTGGCTGAAAAGAAGGACCTACATCTTTCTTTTCTTCATAGTCCTCCTGTGTCCTTTCCAAATGGCCCATGGTTGATATTATTTCGCTTTGATCAGCAATAGCTTGACTATCAGACAATGTGCTTGATTCAAATATATCATCCAGAACTATTGCTTCAATATTTGATTCTTTCATCTCTGGATTAACTGTGGCAGGTTTACTAGGAATGGGCATGGATGATATTGTGGGAAACAAAAAATCTAATTCTGCTTCTGTGCTAAGGATAGGGATCCTAGCTGTGGAGTTAAAGCCCATATGATCCAATTGGCTTCTTTCTTCAGAAGTCATTGATTCACTATATGTTGCTTGAGTGTAGCTAGTCAGAAGAGTGTCACCAGAACCCGCAAATGCTTCCTCAGTTAAAGAAAGGTTAACAGCTGCCAATTTCTCCTCAACTTGGGTGCTTTCTTCATTATTGCCTTGTGGTCCTGATGGTACCTCTGGATCTACGTCTGTTTGCATTACAAGGATGTCTTCATCTGGAGGTTTAGTGTAATCAATGTCTATGATGGTATTTTTATCTGATGTCAGCTCAGGTAGAATTTCAAGGATGGTACTCTCAGTAATTGTCAATATTAAATCCTTATCCTCTTTGTCTAGATCTATAATAATATTTTCAGTGGCTTTTTTTCTATTAGGTTTTAAGGTAGAATCCTTAAAATCACCAAAATGGTCTTGCAAATTAGCTGCCACACCTTCTGTGGGCCCCTCATATGACATTGTACTTGACAGTGTGCTAGTTGGATCAGGCAAGCTTTCCTTCTTCTCTGGATGAAGAGGCAGCATCACTGAGATTGTTGGAGATCCAGCAGCAGCAGTTCTAGTTTCAGCAGAGGACACTTCAGAGTGCATCTCCAGGAACCCATCAGAAACAAATGTGGTGCTTCCTTGCTTGGTTGCCTGTGTAGCTCCAGAAGTGTGGACTAAATCAAGAACATCTGCTTCTCCAGATCCTTCTCCAGAATTTTCATAAGAGAAGTCAGATGGTTTCGGTGCTGAAGTAACAAATTCTTTGGCCATTTCAAGACTATAAGTTCTAGGCAGAAAAATAGTGGAAGAAGTTACTGTTTCTTTAGTTTCTACTGCTGAAGAATTATCATTAAAAATTAGTTCAGTTACAGTTTGTGGTTCACTAGTCTGGATTGCTTCCCCCCACTCGAGAGTCTGATTTTGAATATGCTCAGTGTCTGCGGAGAACGGAAGAGGTGCTGAGGTAGGACCTCCTGCTCCAGGGTCACTTAAAATTTCCACTAAGGTTGTGTCAGATGCTATCTCTCTACCTTCAGAGATGTCTGTTTTGGAAATGGGTGTTCTCACTTCATTTGCCACACTTCCCAGTCTCTCATATTCTTCCACTTTATCGCTTAAGATACTTGTTCCTGAACTTTCCATGTCAGAAGTATGGGGATATAATGTGCTACGGATTTGTTTCATTTCAGTAAAATTCACTGACACTGTAGGTAAAGGGGTCAAAACTTCTCCTGATCCCATGCCAGAGAATAAGTTATCAGTATCCAACTCTTTAATTGTTGTTCTCATACCTTTGGGAAAGAGTTTTATACTTTCTACCTCTTTAATTGGTGGATCTGTGACTACATTTACAGCTGGTATGGATTCAGTCACTAAGGCAGTATCTAAGAAAAAGTGTGCCATTTCAGTAGCATCAGGAAGAGTACTATTTGATTCCAAGCCTTTTATATCCGGATGTGGAGTTGACACAGGAAGTGAGGAAATCCATTCCTCCTCCTCTTCCTTATCAATACTGTAAGTTCTCTTCATTGTTAATATAGAATAATCAGTGGTTTGGAGTTCAGTTTCATTAAGTGTTTGTGAATCAAAAGTTGTTTGTTCTGATGCAAGAGAACTCTGGAAGGATCCAAAAGGCTTTTGTTCTTGAAACTTTCCCTCTGTTGCTGTTACACTTTCAATTCCTTGTCTTGTAGGACTGTCTTCTTCACTGGACCATAATTTGGCTGGTTCCATTGTTTTGGGAAAGGTTATTGAAACAGTGCCATTTTCCTTTACTTCCCACTTCTCTGTTGAAACTACAATACTTTTGGTTTCTTCTGTTGGTAATATGGTAAATCTTTTATCTGCTTCATTCATCACACCCACTTCTTCCAATCTTTGGTCAATAAATGGGGAACCTGTACCGGAAAAGTTTTCCATATCAGTGGGATGCACTGAGCCAACAGAGTTGCTGACTGTAGCCAGTTGCTCACCTGAGCCCTCAGCTGAGGCTGTGAACTCTTCCCAGGGAAAGACTGAAGTGCTGACCATAGTGCTGCTGGGTCCTTCCAAGTTAAGCATCTGATTGGTATAATCTGAAGTAGGTATTGTAGATGGTGAAATCTGAACATCCCTAAATGATGCATCCCCAGAGCCTTCCATCATCACTGTTTCTTCTTTGGTTATCAGATGAGACCCTGTTGGGTATTCTCTAAAGTCACCACTAAAATCTTCCAAAGGAAAGCCTGTAGAAAAGCCCTTTGTTTCTGCCTCCTGAGTTGGCTCTCCTGATACCTCTGAAAGCAGATTTTCCTTGGATGTTTGGTTTATACTTTTAGTGACTTCTCTGTCCATTACAGTACTCAAATCTAGTCCTATTGGCTCAGAGGAAAATGTAATTTCCACATGGGGAGACAAAGTACCAGCAGTAGCTTCATTTTTGCCTTGAGTTTCAGACTCTAAATTCAATGAAAATGAAGAAACTGTCATGGATTCTGTGTCAACAACAGGCTCTCCTGAGCCCTGCTCTATAAAATGAGAGACAAGGCTACTTGGGAGAGTAGTCAGCTCTTTCTGTACCCCAGGTTGGCTGTTTTGCTCAAAGGGCTGTGTCCCCAAACTGACTAAAACATTGGTCTCTGTGAAGACAAGAGAAGAACTGGTCACTTCTTTTCCAGACTGTGTGGGTGCTGTTAAGGGCATAAAACTTTTCCTGGTAGTAGCTGGATCACTAGATGTAACTACATTTGAACTTTCTGATTCAGAGAGTGAAAATAATTGATCTGATCTCTGTGTTGGTGAATGTGCTGATTCAGAGAGTGAAAATAATTGATCTGATTTCTGTGTTGGTGAATGTGCCTCAACTATAGAGGCCATACCAGTGGCTCCCTCCTTCTCCTCTTTCCTTTTCTCTCCCTCAAGAGTTGTACTGAAAACCCACTCAGAAGTGTCTGTTTCACTTACAAATTTGGTAGGCACCACTTCGGCAGAATGTTGTTCTGAAACTGAGTAGACGGTGGTTGCAGGAATATCAGAAAGGCTTTCTGTGATCATTACCTTGTTTGTATCTAAAGTAATGAGGGCATTTGTAGTATTTCTCTGTGATAAATCAATTACTGTAGTGAACATTTTACCTTTATAGTCTTCTACTTCCCCAGAGCCTTCTACATTTGGAACTGAAGAGCTGCCTCCTAAGAACTCTACAGTTTGTCCAGGCATTATTTCCACCCAGCTTTCTACAGTAGACAAAGGGTTGTGAGGCTGTGGACTTCCTGTTAGGGTAACTGATTGTTCCTCTGAAACAGTGGTTGACAGAGAGTTTGGAACCATACTGGGAGTATATGTGATAGAAGGACTTTTTTCTGCCTCTTCACCAAACGTTGCTGAGGTAATCTTGGAAAAGACCATTTTCTGGGATTCTTGGTCAATGGTAGCCTCTCCTGAAGACTCTTCAGGAAGCAGAGGTACTGGTTCAGGGTGTTCATGATCCAGATTTTGAATTTTAGGACCTCTTTCTGTTATGGAATCTGCCCTCTCTGTGGCTTTTTCCCCAAGGAGTGAGACTGTGGGGAAAATGTCAGGCTCCCCGCTTGAAAAATGCTCTGATAATTCAGGGTAAGTCCCAGGTTTCCACGTTATTTCCAGAAATTCAGTGGTTTCTTTAGATTCATTAGATTGCTCTATGGTAGACAATTCTGTTTCTGCTATTACAAACTGATGGGTATCACTTTCAGAACTGTCTGAGAAATTTTGAGAAGGTGCAACACTTTCAAATTGGCCACTCCTAGCTTCTGCAGCTTCTAGGTCCTTGGGCACAGTGGTGACTAGGTGCTTCCCATTTATGTACTGCACAGATGGGGTAGTCGTTACATCAGTAGCATTCACACACTCTTCGTCTCCCTCTTCATCTTCTTCACTGTTGTAAATGTCTATTTCAATTACATGGGGTAATTCAGGTAAAATTTCAGCAATTAGATCGTGCACTGGATCTGTTTCTTCACTACAAGGCTCATCTTCTTTAGATTCTGAATCTATTGGATGACCAATTACACTCAAATCACTCATTCGACCTGAAAAAAACAAAGTTTTCACAATACTTAAATGGAAGGTCTGGCAGTGTGTGACAGAAGAAATTGATAGCAAGGCTGATCACATTCACACACATACAAAAGAGGATCAAATCTTTTCACATTAAGTGAAATCACCCTTCTATACATGTTTTTCAGTCTTCAAATTTGCTGCTTTATATTTACAATAAGAAAAACAAATCCTGTTTTAAGAATATAGAAATAGGTCATGAAAACTCTTCAATATATTTAACAAAACAAAGTCCTTAAAATGAAGCAAACAATTACACATGCATTGTAATCCTGAATACAGCGATTTCATATTTTTGTGAACTGCAAAAATTAAGAATTGAAGACCATTTCACCTGACCATATGTATAAAGTAATTGATTGTTGTTCTTTATGTAAGTGGATGCTCAGACACTTTATTCAATAAGGAGATGAGAAATCCTTACTTTTGACTTCTTTACAATCTGCCCTAAAAGCTATTTTAGAAAAATAAGAGAAATTTATTTGTAGCACATTTACAATGCAATGACAATCTCTACACGGCGCAGCAGTGAGAACACAGCTTAGCCCTATCCCATACATAAGAGCAGGGAACCCCAGTTTGGAGGATCTGTTGGGAATCACTTATTGAAGGGCCAATAAGAAAGAGTCCTCCATATTTTTACAACTTCATGGGACGTGTACTGGACTAGGTCAGTTTTAGTTCTCTTTCTTAATGTTTTCTCCAAAGAAAGTTCAGAAGTCACATCCAAATATTCTAACTAGCATACTTCAAATGATTTTTTTCATTAGAACATTCCTTGAACTAAAAATTGCCACACAACACCATCCACTAAGCCTATTCAATTTTCTGCCACCAGAAACACAACGGCAAATACACCTTGCCTTGGGTTATAGAAAGAAAGAAATTCTGAGTCTTTTACCCTCACCATGGTGGCATTCAACTGTCCTAAGAGAGGGCACTGCCACTACAGCTGTCTTAGTTCCAGTGAGACCATGTAAAAAGGGTCCCTTTGGATATGTTGAGCCACAAAGACAAAGGACTTCATAGTGCCTTACCATCTTGTCCAGAGGAACACAACTGCAGAGTTAGTTTTCAGGTTAGGCCCAATTTCTGTCATACATACTTAGGCTGAACCTGAGATGTATACATTTTTGAGTATACTTCTGAGTGCACTCAAAGGACATATATAGAGCCAGACATGGTGGTGCACACCTGTAATCCCAACTCTCAGGAGGTGGAAGTAGGAAGATCATGGTCCAAGTCTGGCCCAGGCAAAAGCACAATACCCCCTATCTGAAAAAACAAACCAAACTAACAGCAAAAGGACTGAAAGTGTTATTTAAATAGTAGAATGCTTGCTTAGCAAGCACGAGGCCCTGAGTTCACGCTTTCACACTTCGCAGTTCATTTCTTATCTCTTCATCACATTCCACCAAATACACTCAGCTTTTCCATTATGTAAGCTAAGGAATGAGAAAATATTTCTGTCATACAGAGACATGAGATTGATGCCTAACTCGAGTGTATTATAAAAACATAAAATGAATACAGGTTATTTCTGGCAAAGCTGTTACAACTATTCCCAATTGCCAAATTCAAGAAAATGACTACATGCCTCTCCTTTTTAAAAACTATAATTAAAAAGGACAAATTCTTCAATAGTAGGCCACTAAAGTTGTCACTCTGATCTTATAGGGTTCATTGTGTATGTTTAAAAGAGGACACATTAAAATCTTTAGATAATCACATCTTAATACAGTTTGAATTAAAGGTAGGCTTTGTGCTATGAAAAAAAGAATGTTAACAAAATGCTTAAACTATAGGCAGGAATAAATATAAATGCCTTTTTGCATAAACGAATCTCTCTAAATACCATATGAGTAATTTAATTACTATATCAAGTAGTTTATTATTTCTAACAATGTCTTAATAGGGTTGAGTAAAGCCAGACTCAGTTATAACTATTTTGTACAATTTCATGGGTTTTAACTGGAGTTTCAAAAATATGCCTATCTTAAACTGCTTCTACTATCATTTATGCACAACTGCCTTATGTTGTCTCCCAAGGCATAAATAAAGGCAGAATGCATTAAGAAGTACTACATACAGGTACACTAAGCTTGCATGCACGCACCAATGCCACAATACCTTTCACTTACATGAAGAATATTAAATGATGAACATTAGTCAATGTCAAGCATATAAAGAATTCCTGCCACATTTTGTACCTTTTTATAAATAAAAATTAGCTAGCTATTCCACCAGGCTTCTCTGGTCAAACACATCAATAAATAAGGAAACAATTGTTCAATGTTGCAATATTTACAAACTTTTAGGCCAAAGTAGTATAAAAACACTCATTGTTGTTATGTCTGTCCTAAATAAATGTCTTGCTTAAAAAAGTGTTATAAACATATCCCATAAACTTTTTAGTGAATAATTACAGATATAGGATTGGTCAAGTATGACGTTGGTGGTTCTAAAACAGTGGGATATATAGAAACAGAGAGAGAAGAAGGTGTACCAGTATGTCAAATGTAAATATAGTGAAGAAACAGATGCTCACCTAATTTTTTCCTGGTAAAGAAAATGAAGGTAAACTCTAACTATAACAATAATTTATATAATCTAGTTAATTATCATCTTACGTTACGTCTACTTAGTTCTATTAATTAAAGATTACGATATTCAGTTTAATTTCTCTGATGAACATTCTTTTAGTACACATTACACTTGACAAGGCTAATGCTTCCTCTTACTCACAAACCCAAGAGGCTACTTTACATTTTAGACCACCATATCAGAATATTTCACAAAAAACTGAACTGTTAGATGCATTATGTTTAATTTTCTAATCCAAACAAATATCATAGTTTTTCAGCCACTACAGTATGAACATATCAGAGCCATAGCCTGGCATACGTTTCGTACACATTATGCCAAAGTTAAATACACTACCACAGACATGCATGCCATGCTAAACCTGTAATTTCCCCAGAGCCAAGTAAGAGATTACACAAAATTTAGTAAGTACCTATCACGCATCAGACCCTGTAGATGACGCTTGCTTTCAACTTCATAGATATTCAAGTATACCTTCTAGTCTCTCGTCTCCTTAAAACAAGTGTTTTTGCCAATAAGTTAGAGAACTGAACCAACTTAAATTTTTTCTCCCTTTTTAAGGAAATTTGCTGAGTATACACATTGCAAATATACCTCTAATTAAATTTAGGCTATAATTCCTTTTTCCTACACTCACTTCCCAAGTATTTGACCTGACTTGCTTTCAGAATTGTAGAAAACAAAAATCAATCAATTGATTTCATCCTAGGTTTTCTTCATTGTACCATGAAGCTGGCAATGACCAAAGGAACAGTCAGTACATCATAATAAGGAAAAATTGAGAAAACAAATCTATACATGAATGACATTCTCAATTATAGTGAGAATATCTCACTGTAATTTGAATGTCTCACTAAAATTTGTCTTTTTAATAAATTTTATTGTATACTTTTGAGGTTTATAACATGTCATGACATACTTACAGATAGGAAAGTGGTTACTACAGAGAAGCAAACTAACATCTACCTTTTCTGTGACAAGAACAGCTAAAACCTACTCATTTAACAAAAAAAAGTCCCTAATACAATATATTAACCATAGTCCTTGTGTTATAGAGTAGACCTCCAGAAAATTTTTCTACTAAATGAGATTTAAAACAAAAATGCAAAATCATTTTGCTTCCTTTTTCTGAAAGGAATATTCTCACAATTAAACAATGAATAGTCATTGTTGCAGTTGTGCCACTTTTCAAATAATCTTGTTGGATTTCTTAATATCATTTTGAGGGTGAAGAAACATTGATTAGTTAGGGCTTTGAGGTTCTGTCAACAAAGACTCTACCTATCAATCTACATGTTGTTCTTTGAGTATAACTAGTTTGTTACCTTACTTTTAACATTTCATGGCAGGAGGGGCAGCAGCATGAAATCTATCTACTGTATATATAAGTAAGTGAATCCTTTCCTACCATGTGGCCCAAATTCCCATCAATAATCCCTTATGGCTCGCCAAATCCTACTTGCTCCTCTTTGTTTATTCTTCCTCTGAAATTACCTTTTCATCCCCCTTTCCTGTCACCACCCCTACCCACCACACATATTATTAGAGAATTGCAACAGCTATAATTATTGTGAACAAGAAAAGTTTCTTTGTGGGGTTTGGTTGGGGGACACCTGCGCTATTGTGAAAGTCAGGTCCTGTTCCAAAATGGTGATCTGCTCTATTTCATACTAACAGACCAATCTTGACATTGTGAACTTTTAGATGAACGGTCCTTATAAAAGACTTCTCTATTTTAAAATTTCACTCTAAGGATAATATAACTTTTATTTGGTTTTCAAGAGTCAAACCACAGAACTCTATAGAGTACGTGTATAATCTTTTCTGTTTATATGAATGTATTTTAACAGCTTGACTTGAATATACTAGTACTATAGTTAATAGGTTTTTTTAATGGCATTTCACACAAAGCTTTATTGCTTGCTGGCCTCAAACTATTCACAAGTATTTTTAAGTACCTCATGGCAGAGTTTTGTAGACATAGCACAAGTCTTCCAGTCATACTGTTACCAGACACAAGACACAGTTGCTGTGATGCATAGGCTGCTGGTTAAAGTTCAAGTTCTCTTTAGGGAATTTTACAATTTAAATTTAAGAGCTTTTAGTTAAGTGTAAGTTCTACCAATCTACTCAACAGAGATATATATTAAGATCACGTTTCTTTGTTAAAATGATAATCATTTTAATGTGTGACAAAAAGATTTCCTTTCCTTATTTCAAAAATACTGAAGTGCTTGAGAAATACTCGCAGAAAGACTGAAGAGTTTGAAATTCTTTCCAGTGTTTAAATTTTCAGACACATACCTATAGCACCAATAACCAGCCAGAAATAAGTGTTTCAATTTCACTCTTCTCATATGTTTTAAAT